TCTCGATTGCCCTGTCTCGTGGCTGTGTTAGCTCTACATCAGGGCCAGTTTTTGGTTAATTTTCCATTTCTGAATATTTTTAAAAAATACCTGTCTTTTATTCTTTAAAAAAATACAAAAAATATTCTAAAAAAAGAAAATACTCTTCTGTTGGTGTTTGCTCTCACTTGCCCTGTCTCGTGGCTGTGTTAGCTGTTCATCAGGGCCAGTTTTTGGTTAATTTTCCATTTCTGAATATTTTTAAAAAATACCTGCCTTTTATTCTTTAAAAAAATACAAAAAATATTCTAAAAAAAGAAAATACTCTTCTGTTGGTGTTTGCTCTCACTTGCCCTGTCTCGTGGCTGTGTTAGCTGTTCATCAGGGCCAGTTTTTGGTTAATTTTCCATTTCTGAATATTTTCTAAAAATACCTGTCTTTTATTCTTTAAAAAAATACAAAAAATATTCTAAAAAAAGAAAAGACTCTTCTGTTGGTGTGTGCTCTCGTTTGCCCTGTCTCGTGGCTGTGTTTGCTGTTCATCAGGGCCAGTTTTTGGTTAATTTTCCATTTTTGAATATTTTCTAAAAATACCTGTCTTTTATTTTTTTAAAAAAATACAAAAAATATTCTAAAAAAAGAAAATACTCTTCTGTTGGTGTTTGCTCTCACTTGCCCTGTCTCGTGGCTGTGTTAGCTGTTCATCAGGGCCAGTTTTTGGTTAATTTTCCATTTCTGAATATTTTTAAAAAATACCTGTCTTTTATTCTTTAAAAAAATACAAAAAATATTCCAAAAAAAGAAAATACTCTTCTGTTGGTGTTTGCTCTCACTTGCCCTGTCTCGTGGCTGTGTTAGCTGTTCATCAGGGCCAGTTTTTGGTTAATTTTCCATTTCTGAATATTTTCTAAAAATACCTGTCTTTTATTGTTAAAAAAATACAAAATATTCGCTTTAACGAATCGATTCGTTATTATCTCAATATTGAATCAAATCGTATTTAATAACGATGTTTGGAAGCCGCTTTTGCGCATGCGCGATTGCGTCCGCCATTTTAACGAATCGATTCGTTATAACCTTAACGAATCGACCTCCGCGCCCATAACGAAGATTCGGAAGTGATTCTGCGCATGCGCGGGGGTCCGCCATCTTTACAAAATGTTTTGTAAATATTTACAAAATTTCGTAAATACCGAAACTTTTTTTGGGAAAGTTTTGTAATTATTTTAAATATCGAAACAAAAAAACACCCCAATTACAAATTGATTTTAGAAACAATTTTTTTCTTGATCAACCAGGCCTAATAAACATGGCTAATTTATCCGTTTCTTAATTGTCTTGAAGTTTCATCATCCATCCCTATCTCAGATCTTTTCCATTTCTGTGCAAATGCATTCTAACTGCAGTTATCACATACTGAAGATTTTCCTCGCATATTTCCTTTCTAGTTAATCTTCCAATAGTCCCAGGAGAGAGAAAATTCTGGTTTAAACCAAATGTTTGCTTTTAATATCTCTCCCAAATAGCAGTGTAATAGAATACAATATTTTCTTGCTCTCTTGCAAGTCCATCGCATAGGATGAGAATGCATTTCCTTTTATTTGCATTTCCAAGGTATGTTTGGGGAACCTTTATGCAGTTTTGGATACTTAGGCGATCCCTTGTAGTCTGAGGATGATGGTCCTCCAAGTGTAGTGTCCTGGCAGTGGGACCGTAGGTGGCTGTGGAGCCCTATTCTTGACCTGCATCTTCTCCCGCAGTGAGGGCATCGGTTTCCAGGTGGAAGGTAGTCCCGGTTGGGGTTGGCTTGATGCACCTTCCTCTTGGCATGTTTCTCTCTTTCGCCCTCCATTCGTGCTTCTTCAAATTCTACAGCAGTGCTGGTCACAGCTGACCTCCAGCTGGAGCGCTCAAGAGCCAGGGTTCCCCAGTTCTCTGTGTCAATGCCAGAGTTTTTGAGGTTGGCTTTGAGCCCATCTTTAAATCTCTTTTCCTGTCCTTCAACCTTCCATTATCCATTCTTGAGTTTGGAGTAGAGCAACTGCTTTGGGAGATAGTGGTCAGGCATCCAGACAATGGGGCCGGTCCAGAGGAGTTGATGGCGGAGGACCATCACTGATGCTGATGGTCTTTGGGTTATTGTAGGTTTTTTTGGGCTATATGGCCATGTTCTAGAGGCATTCTCTCCTGATGTTTTGCCTGCATCTGTGGCAAGCATCCTCAGAGGTAGTGAGGTCTGTTGGAACTAGGAAAAAGGGTTTATATATCTGTGGAATGACCAGAGTGGGACAAAGAACTCTTGTCTGTTGGAGCTACATGTGACTTTGCCCCACCCTGGTCATTCCACAGATATAGAAACCTACTTTCCTAGTTCCAATAGATCTCACTACCTCTGAGGGTGCTTGCCATAGATGCAGGTGAAACATCAGGAGAGAATGCCTCTAGAACATGGCCATATAGCCCAAAAAACCTACAACAACCCATTGATTCCAGCCATGAAAGCCCTTGAGAATAAATCAGAAGATGTTTCCTTCTTGGGAGGAGAGAAAGGACTAATATCAATAAGATAGTGAAGAGTAGAGACATCACACCGGCAACGGATAGTTAAAGCAGTAGTATTCCCCATAGTCACCTATGGATGCGAGAGCTGGACCATAAGGAAGGCTGAGCGAAGGAAGAGAGATGCTTTTGAACTGTGGTGTTGGAGGAAACTGCCAGAAATACAGCTTAATGGTAAAACATTTGAAAATGTTGACCGTTTCCGCTCCCTTGGCAGCCACCTCTCCACCAAAGTCAACATCGACACCGAAATACAACACCGCCTGAGCTCTGCGAGTGCAGAATTTTTCCGAATGAAGCAGAGAGTGTTTGAGGACCGGGACATCCGTAGGGATACCAAGGTGCTTGTTTATAAAGCTATTGTCCTCCCAACCTGCAAAATGTGGACTGTCTACAGACGTCACATGCAACTCCTGGAACGATTCCATCAGCGCTGCCTCCGGAAAATCCTGCAAATCTCTTGGGAAGACATGCGGACAAACATCAGCGTGCTGGAAGAAGCAAAGACCACCAGCATTGAAGCGATGGTCCTCCGCCATCAACTCCGCTGGACTGGTCACGTTGTCCGGATGCCCGACCGCCGTCTCCCAAAGCAGTTGCTCTACTCCGAACTCAAGAACGGAAAACGGAAGGTTGGAGGACAGGAAAAGAGATTTAAAGATGGGCTCAAAGCCAACCTTAAAAACTCTGGCATGTTGTTGTTCATTCGTTCAGTCGTGTCCGACTCTTCGTGACCTCATGGACCAGCCCACGCCAGAGAGAGCTCCCTGTCGGCCGTCACCACGCCCAGCTCCTTCAAGGTCAGTCTAGTCACTTCAAGGATGCCATCCATCCATCTTGCCCTTGGTCGGCCCCTCTTCCTTTTGCCTTCCACTTTCCCCAGCATCATTCCCTTCTCTAGGCTTTGCTGTCTCCTCATGATGTGGCCAAAGTACTTCAACTTTGTCTCTAGTATCCTTCCCTCCAATGAGCAGTCGGGCTTTATTTCCTGGAGGATGGACTGGTTGGATCTTCTCGCAGTCCAAGGCACTCTCAGAACTTTCCTCCAGCACCAAACTCTGTCATAGACACTGAGAACTGGGAAGCCCTGGACCTTGAGTGCTCCAGCTGGAGGTCAGCTGTGACCAGCAGTGCTGCAGAATTTGAAGAGGCACGAATGGAGGGAGAAAGAGAGAAATGTGTCAAGAGGAATGGGCATCAAACCAACCCCGACCTTGACCACCTCCCTCCTGGAAACCAATGCTCTCACTGTGGGAAAAAATGCAGGTCAAGAATAGGGCTCCACAGTCACCTACGAACCCACCCCCAGGACACTGAACTTGGAGGACCATCATCCTCGGACTATGAGAGATTGCCTAAGTAAGTAAGGAGGAAAATGCTGAGAGTGCCTTGGACCGCAAGAAGATCCAACCAGTCCGTCCTTCAGGAAATAAAGCCCGACTGCTCACTGGAAGGAAGGATATGACAGGCAAAGATGGAGTACTTTGGCCACATTTTGAGGAGACAGGAAAGCTTAGAGAAGACAATGATGCTGGGGGAAATGGAAGGAAAAAGGAAGAGGGGCCAACCAAGGGCAAGACGGATGGATGGTATCCTTGAAGGGACTGGCTTGACCTTCAAGGAGCTGGGGGTGGTGATGGCCGACAGGGAGCTCTGGCCTGAGCTGGTCCAGGAGGTCACCAAGAGTCGGAATGACAGAACGAATAAACAACAACAAGCAAGAGGGCCAGAAGTAGCTCAACACATTTGATGAGCTCAGTGCTACTTCCATGCTTGAAGAGAGGCTGAAGTGTCCTACTAGGGGGGAATTTCTCCGTGTGATGGGGCCCCTTTGTGATTGTATGATCCACAACTGGGTCATATTAACAATCCCAAAACATTCCCTGCTTTCCTATTCCTTTACCCATTTGGAGCCCTGGGTGGCACGATGGGTTAAATCCTTGTGCTGGCAGGACTGAAGAATGAGAGGTCAGAGGTTCGAATCTGAGGAAAGCGCAGATGAGCTCCCTCTGTCAGCTTCAGCTCCCCATGTGGGAACATGAGAAAAGCCTCCCACAAGGATGGTAAAACATCAAACATCCTCTGGGCAATGTCCTTGCAGACGGCCAATTTTCTCATACCAGAAGCGACTTGCAGTTTCTAAAGTCACTCCTTACGTCTGGTGGAGTTCAGAAAACTCTGGAGAAGTCCTGAGTCTTGTCTCGCAGATTAGGAATGTCGTCTCCCTCCCTCTAAAACTCCCTTGGCCAGATTGACCTTCCAGCGTCTAAGCACCCACCCCCACCCCTCATTTCCTCTGGCCACGTTCCCTTGCCATCCCCATGCCTTACATGGTCAAAACTGCCTTCAAGGCAAAGCAAGGAATTTGGGATTCCTGACGTCAGGCTGACTTGGCAGTCGGAGTATTTTTTTGGGCAAAGGCCAGGGGGAGGTTCAACAAAAAAAGAGTGGGGGGGGGGTACACCAAAGAGTAGAGGCTCAGCAGATGGTTTGCTTTTGACTTTTTGGGGGTCCAGCCTGGAAAAGCCCTCCCTGGGCACCAATGAGCCTTGCTGGATTTGCTGGGTGAGAAGAGCCTTTCCGGAAGGGCAGGTAAGGTGAGGTGTTGCATTCTTTGGGGGGGGGGGAGGAAGAATAGGGGGCAGTGAGGGGATGCAGGGAGATTCTGGAAGAATGAATGCAAAGGGAGGAAAGGAATGGAAATTGGCAAAAGAAGAGATGCAGGGAAAGAGGAAATGAAGAAAGGAGAGAAAAGACAAGGCAAAGCATGGGAGGCAGGATAGATGAATGAATGAATGAATGAATGAATGAACGAAGCAGGGAAAATCAATGAGAGAAATGGAGTCCCTAAACTACTCCTCTCTTTGCTTACATCTACACCAGGCATGGGCAAACTTTGGTCCTCCAGTTGTTTTGGACTTCAACTCTCACAATTCCTAACAGCCGGTATTTACTTACTTTACTTACTTAGGCAATTCCTCGTTGGCCGAGTAGGATAGTCTTCCAGGATCAGTATTATGGTGGGTCCGTAGGTGGCTGTGGAGCCCTATTCTTGATTTGCATCTTCTTCCGCAGTGAGGGTATCGGTTTCCAGGTGGAAGGCGGTCTCGGTCGGGGTTGGCTTGACGTGCCTTCCTCTTGGCACGTTTCTCTCTTTCACCCTCCATTCGTGCCTCTTCAAATTCTGCAGCACTGCTGGTCACAGCTGACCTCCAGCTGGAGCGCTCAAGGGCCAGGGCTTCCCAGTTCTCAGTGTCTATGCCAGAGTTTTTAAGGTTGGCTTTGAGCCCATCTTTAAATCTCTTTTCCTGTCCTCCAACATTCCGTTTTCCATCTTGAGTTCGGAGTAGAGCAACTGCTTTGGGAGACGGTAGTTGGGCATCTGGACAACGTGGCCAGTCCAGCAGAGTTGATAGCGAAGGACCATTGCTTCAATGCTGGTGGTCTTTGCTTCTTCCAGCACGCTGACGTTTGTCCACTTGTCTTCCCAAGAGATTTGCAGGATTTTTCCGGAGGCAGCGCTGATGGAATCGTTCCAGGAGTTGCATGTGAT